GGCATGAGTTGAATCTATGCTTTCCAATTACTCTCCACTCTGCCATATTCTGTAAGGAAATAAAGCAATTCATCCCAAAGTAGTTCACGTGCCCACACCTTAAGACCATTGCCTCAAGCTGATGGCGTTTCTCAGTTTCTGAGACTTTCCCTCTGTGTACTTTGTCAAAGGAATGCTCTAACCATTACTCAGTACTTTTTGCTCTGGCCTCTGGCACAGTGTTCCCTGTGAATTTCTTCAGCTTTTGAGAGAAAATAACCCTGAAGCAAGTCCAGGGTCTTGAACCACTACCAGTGTACTACCACCAACTTCCTCTCTATTTCCAGAAAGGACTGTAATTTCTTTTTCAGAAATTATAAGTCTCTTGATTAGTTAAATACAGTTTCCAGTTCTTAATTTAACAGGAGAGTTTTGTTTCTGTTTTCAGACTTTCTTAATTTAGAGAACGTCATACCATTGTGAAAGCATACTCTATAGGCTATCTGGCTATAGCATCCTGAGTTCAAACCCCAATACCACCATCAATGCACTAGTTCTATTGGTTCTACTTCCAAATTATACTTTGATTGTGGGTGATAGCAAGAGGTCCTAAAGGTCTCCCAGTTTCCATGAATGTAAGACTCCTTACACCCCATTCTTCAGACCACAGCTAGAGTGACAGCAATACTTTCAGAATATCTATCAGGTAACTCCTCTGCTTTAAACAATCCAGTAGCTTTTCACTGCAGTTAAAATCCAAGCTCTCCCCTTAGTCCTCAAGGCCTTTCATGATGTGATCTGACCCACTATCCTTCACTCTATACTCCACCCACGATGATCTTCTTTCCAAGAACTTGCAAAGATTGTTCCCCCCAGCTCTTCCCTCTTTTGAATCTACTCTTCCTACAGATCTTTTCGTGGTTATTTTCATAATTTATCTTTCAAATACCACCTGTTACATATTCTGTGACTACAAAATGAACCCACACCTGCACACTCTACCATATTACTCTGCCTTGTTTGAACTGGCAAGAGTTCAAACTGGGGTTTGAACTCAGGGCCTCAGGCTTAGCTAGGCAGATGCTCTACCACTTGAATCACTCCATCAGCCCTGTTTTGTGTTGGGTATTTTCGAGACAGGGTCTCATGAACTATTTGCCCAGGCTGGCTTTAAACTGCGATCCTCCTGATCTCTGCCGCCTGAGTAGCTAGGATTATAGGTGTGAACCATAGGCACCCAGCTTCTTTTTTCCTTTTTAAAAACAGAACTTCTCAGTATCCAAGATTTTTATTTATTACTTTGAATTTGGGATGTACCTCTTTCAGAACAGAATGGTCTTGTTGCACTTTCAGGAAAGGGCTGGGAAGGAAGAAGCCATTGAGGAGTAGCATTTTATGGTAAGCTTACATGTAGCACACTTATTAGGTTCTAATTGCAATCTAATTGACCTGCATATGGCTATAAATGATCTGAATAGCACTTAGTCATACTAAAAAACAAACAACAAAACTCTTGCTCCTTTCAAAGTAGAACTTTGTAGGCTTTCAGATTTGCAAATCATACTGTTGTTAGATTAAAGACAAGTTTTGAGAACAAAATAATGTCTCTGGGGTGACTGTACAAGAGATATTACACCACGTGAAATGACTCACAAGGTGGCTATTTCATTTGTGCGATACTCAGGGTCCTTAGTTTAGGATATGATATCAATAAAATGTTTATCAGTGTCTTCTAAGAGAGTATCTCCCAGTTGAAACCATTATTTAATGACTTTCAGTTGATTTGTTGAGATTCTCTAGAATTAAAATAATTTACCACAGTGTTCCCAAACTCCCACAGCATTTATCCAGGTCATAATTATTCATGTCTGGGTTTTTGGATTTATTGAGGGTAGGGAATATTGTTGGAGGCTGCATCTTCGTTTTAAAGTACCTTAGTGTGGGAGATACTCCTTGAAGGCAAGAGTGTTTTCCTAGCTCAGGACAGGAGACGAATACAGTGTGAGGGAAGGAAGCATCTGAGAGTACCAAGTGAGGATATCTGCTACTCTCTGGTGCATGTACTTGTTAATTACTTCTGTCACTTTAACTATTGTTTTGTGTAACCAGGGCAAAGTATTCTTCTCCATGAAGTCTGTTAGGCACCAATCTACAGGATGTGAATCTAAAGCAAAAGTGGAGCAATAAAATAAGGGGTTGGATAGGAACAGTGAGAAAGAAGTGGGTATTGCAGAGAGCAGTGGTTTACAACTACGCACAATCCAAAATGGGAATAAATCTGTACAGTGTATTTTTACATAATAAGATGCATTTTTAAATAGCCAATTCAATCAACGCAGTTTGTATATTTTATTTTATTGTTTGCTTTAAGTATCTTTGGTATATTCTGCGTTAGATAAAAAAAATTGACTGAAAATTGATCTTTCATTGGAAAGAGCATTATTTTAAGCCTAGTTGGCAATCTGTTTCTCCTTTTGAGATTCATATAAATGAAGCTCATCTCTCTTGTTTTAGGTACAAGAATGGTAAGTGGAGCTAGCAGAGTGGCTCAAGTGGTAGAGCGCTTGCATAGCAAGTGTGAGACACTGAGTTCAAACACCAGTACTGAAAAAAAAAAAAGTGGTAAGTGGCATAGACTGAAGAGTTGAATTAATAAAAATTAGTCAATTTAGAGGAATTGTATTCTACTTGCAAAGAAGTCTTGGCTCATTTTTTTCTTTAAACATTAAACCATCTTTTTCAAAATTTTAATGTGAACACGACTCACCTACAGACATATTAAAGTGTTGACTCCCAAGAGGTTTGGATCTAGCAGGTCTGTGACAGCGCCCCTAAAATCTTCATTCTAAATGCCTACCCCAAAGTAAATTGTGATGCAAGTGACTCAAAAGACACTTTAAGAAACATTGTTATTACCTACACAAAATGAATGGGGTAGGTGGGGTATGAATGGGAAATGGTGACATTAGAGATGACCAGGGAGATCTAGCTCTACAACCCTGCTAGCCACTAACTTCTAACTCAGCACTTCTTCATCCACTTTGTCCAAATCACAAAACCCACACAATTTTCAGAACTAATGCCTCCCCCATACATAGACTATTTTGAACTAGAGAAGTGTTTTTGAGGTGATAAAATAAAATTTATTTTTCTAAACACATTCTCTTTTTCTGTCTCAGGAGGATACCAAAAACTTCATTAAGGAGTTTGTGTGGGAAAATGAATGGCTGACATGTGGAAACAGTTGGAAGAGATGAGCAAGAACACAAATTCCCCAAATTACTAATATGCAAATCACTGAGCATCAGGCTGAGTAAATACCTTCAATTCCCATCAACACCTTCAGAAAAAAGGCAAATTTTATTCACCTCTGCCCTCCCTGTTGACTGTTTATGTGGATACTAAACATTGCTTTCGTAAAATAAATAAAAACAAAACATCCCTCCTTGCAGTTTTAAAACCATTTCATAGATCACAGACAATAAAAGGATATGACTGACTGCTCAGTAAATTATGTGACCAAGATGACTCAGTGGCTAGGAGTAGACAACTAGAGCAGCTTTTCATACCTGATAGTCATAACACACTCTTAGTTCATGTCCTGGGTCTTGACCATCATTTTTAGGAAAAGGAAACATTACATAGAAAAGGTCAATGAGTATAGTGCATAGTAGGTATAACTATTGTTTCATGAGAATTGTATGTGTCCATAACCTGGATTACTGCATACAGTCTATTACTTTACCATAGGTCAGTCACTAAAGTTGGGAAGACTTCTATTTCATGATGGGCCTCAAAAGAGTTGTGAAAGAAGGGACATCTGAGCTGAGTCTCCAAAGTCTATTACAACTTTATTGAGGCCAGAAAGATTTTCACACTCCCTACTAGATTTTCCAAGTTAAAAATCTGTGACACTCTGAGAATGTGAAAACTCTTACTTGGGAAGCAAATGCCACAAGCAAGCCAATGAGCATGTCAATATTCATTCAGTACATTTTGAGATACACTTGAATTTTTTTTTTTTTTGGTGGTATTGGGGTTTGAACTCAGGGCCTCACACTTGTTAGGCAGGCACTCTACCACTTGAGCCACTCTGCCAGCCCCTGAACTACACTTGAAGTGAAGAGGCAGGAAAAGCAAACAATGAAGAGTTTGATTTATGGATGGAAGGAAAGAAGGATCTGGAAGTGCAATGGTTAAGTAGATTATGACATCAAACTCTGCATTAGTTACGTGGTCTCCTCTTGACCCCACTCACTCTTCCAGAAAGGTGCTCTCAACCCTCCCTAGAATATGCTCCCCATCTCCATCCCAAGGGGACAGTACAGCAGGGATCCAGAGTATTCTTAAAAGGTATAGTTCTTGATGGGAAGTTCTTTTCGTGACAAAGCAATCGAAGTTTCATTATGTCGAGGAACTTTCAGGAAGTCACAAAATCCACGTTTTAAAAATATATTTCCTATTATATATACACACCTACTTTTTAAAATAAAAACCAGAGCCACATATGGGTCTGTTTACTCTCTATGTGTTGTATCAAGTTATGTTAAGATGTTCATTTGTCTTAAAAAGGCTTTTATCAGAAAAGAGGAAAAATCTGATGAATTTATTAGGTGTCTGGATTCCAAGGATAAATATCAAAATGTGAACTCTTCATGATGTCAGATGTCAGTTTATTTTAAACTTGTGTTTAAAACATACCAGATGTAGGTTTTGTTTTAATCTTTGAAACTTTTTTGGCCTGGCTCATGCTAGGCAAGTTCTGTACTACTTGAGCCTCATCCCTCTCCCCGTCCTTTTGTTTGTAATTTGTTTTTTGAGATTGGGTCTACACCTTTGTCCAACTGACCGCCAACCTATGCTTACCTTCACAGCAGCTGGATCACTAATGCCGTTCCGGGAAACTACACTGGTAGGTTTCACTTTTGGTTTCGTTTATGTGTATATATATTCCAAAGAAGCATAATCCACTAAATGTAAAATTGAGCCCTTAATTCGCAGAAACAAAGCATCACACCAAACCTCGCTGGATTTCCTAGACCGGGGCTTTCGGGCAGAGGTGGGCGTGGACCGCGGTGGCCGAGATAATTAACACGCGCGCTACCCCGCCGCCTCCTGTCCTGCGCGCAGCATCCGCTTCCCCGCGCGCGCCGCGAGGGTCCCGGTCCCGCTCCCGGCTGCAGGTAAGGAGCGGTCTTCTCCCGCTGGCGCCGCGGCCTGGGTCTCTGGCCCGCTTACCGATCACTTTAAAAGGTAGAGGGTCTTAACACCCTTTGGGGATGGAGAGAGGAGGAGGGAAAGAGGAAGCGCCAAGGTTTGCGCAGCACCGATTGCCTGCAGGGTTATAGAACTCAGAGTAGGCAACCTTTTGACATAGCGCTATTCAGTCTTTCATGTCAGTCTTGTATATGACTGCATTCATGAGTGTGGTCTTGAGGTAGGGAGCTGAGTCGAGAGAGAAATTCCTAGGATGGACGTTGGTAGACAGTTAGCTGCTCACTAGTAGTATGACTCTGGGTAAATCATCCCACCGGCAGCATCTCCTAAGGTCCCTTCCTGCCCTAAAATCCAGGACTCTGTAGCCTAAGCTCTTTGCCCTATGTGCTCAGAGGACCTAAAGGAGTCTTGGAGGAGGAGTGGAGAAGCCCAAAAATAAGCATGCTAAAATATGCCTTAGACACACCGTGGCCTATGTCAAAGTTCAGTTTGGGGTTGTCTTACAAAATAAAAGCACAGATATTCTGCTTTTTAAAACTCTGAATAAATTACCATGGATGTTTTCTAGGAATTAAATAGCCTTCTAATTTATTTTAAATTGTGGCTTTCCAACGTGCTAGGTAACCAAAGGAGGTTATGTCCCATCACTGGACATAAAGGTTATTTATAATGGTTCACTACCTGACGACTGAATGGCTATAACACATATAATTATCTGGGACGTTGCTGTTTATTTCCTTCAGATAAATGATTGAAAGTGTAACCACTTAGTCAATGTCTGAATGTTGAAAAGGCCTTTTTTATGAAAACTGAAAGTTGTTTCCAAAGAGGATATTCCAGTTGACAGTAATGGTCGTCAACTGTATTTAAGGAGAACTATGATACTCTGAGGAAGAAATTAGTCTTTTTCAATGGAAGAAGGAGGGCAGAAGCTTCATGACAGCAGTTGGAGTGTGGTCTTCAAGTAAGCCACTGTGGCAAATAGAAACCACGTATGGAAAACGTACAAGAGTGTCTCAGTGTGACTGAGTGGAGGGAGTTTGGGCATAGAATTTATAAAATTTGATGGAACATAAAATTTTGGTAAAGGTTTAATAGATCAACTCTCTTAATCTTTACTCTGTTTTTGAGAAGGGAAGTTTGCATCTTTGGGTCTTCCTCCCAGCCATCCTACCCTGGGAAGATAGAAAATTGGTATCAGTTCCATAGTGTTACACTGGATTTCCCCAGGGACAACCCGCTTCCCCATCCTGGATGACCCATCACTTCTTCCCAGTTTACACTTCATTGCTCTGTGAATGTCTGTTCTTCTCTGAAAATTTACACAGAGTCACAGTTTCTTACCTCAAGAAGGAGACACCCATGTTGTTTTCTTAGACCAAACACCCTGGTGTGGGGTTTAGAGATCAAAGACCATGTGTTTTTGTATGGTACTTCCCTTTTACCTCCCACTCGTAACAGCTGCACTCCAAGAGAATGAAGCCTTGGAAGAGAGAGTGTAATGATGAATTAGATAAATATCAAATCTAATCCCTCACCTTCCAGTAAACCTTTATGACATCTAAAATTTTCAGCCACATTCATTAAAGGATAAGAACTGCTCCAGAATATGCCACAAACATTGGCAAATTAGGCATCAGTGGATTTAATGTCCCTCTGTTTCATTCAACAGTGCTTTGCGTGGAGTTAGAGATATCTTAAATGTTCTCCAGCCTCTCAACAATCTTCGTGTCCTCACAGGCCTGTATGCCATCCCTACTCCGTCCTCAGGGTAGATAGAGAGGAGAGAAATCAGAACTGTGTTCCTAATACTAGCCAGAGGACAACTCATTTTGTTTTTTACTCTTGCATGTACCAACCTTTTTTTTTTTCAGACAGGGTCTGGCTATTAGGCCAGACTGATCTCAAACTCAGGAGAGTGGTGCTACTCCTGCCCCGGCCTCTCAAGTGCTCATGTGGGTGTCTCACTTAACTTGAAGTGTTCACACATGAAGGGTTGATAAGAGATCAGTAACATAAACAGACAAAAGAAGTAAAGAGATAACTAAAACATTAAACAAATTCATGAAAAATTCAAATTGTACTTTTCCATAATCAAACTAGAAAAAAAATGTTAAAACAATATTAGCACTGGGCAAAGATACAACATGATGGTTACAATTCTCAGCATCTTTCAGTAGCCAAGAAAATATTCTTTTGCCTTGATCATCAGTTCTCTTTGGGGCAATCTATCCTCAGAGCTAAGCCTTTGGCATGATATATCATAGGCACCCATAAATATTTGTTGAACACACAATACTTATGATTTTAAAAAATTGGCAACAACCTAATACCTAACAATAAAGGAATTGAATATTATGGGACAATTAAATAAGATGTTTATGAATATCACACAGCAAACTGGAAAATATTTCATAATCTTAAGTAAAATGGATATTAAATATTTGATAAAATTATTCACTTTTTTAAGGATTCATAGGGAAAAAAAACTACAAGAAATCTATTTATGGAAATGCTCACAGTGGTTTACTCTTTGTCAGTCTTTGCACTATTGACATTTTAGGTCTGATATGTCTTTTTTTGTTGTTTTTGATGGCACCAGGGTTTGAACTCAGGGCCTCATGCTTGCTAGGTAGGCGCTCTACCACTTGAGCCACTCCACAGCCCTTCAGATAGGTCTTTGTGGTAAGGGTGCTGTCCTGTGCCTTGTAAGATATTTAGCAGCATCTCTGACTTCTACTTCTAGTTACCATAGCAGTTTTGCTTCACCCCAAACCTATTTTGACAAAAAATGCTTTCAGGTATTACCAAGTGCTCCCTAAATGAAAGTGATGGAATAGGGAGTGGCTTTCTTATTCTTTTCTCATTTTCTGTAATGTTCTTATATTACTTTTATGATGAAGAAAAGCACAAAAATAAAATTAATGTCATTATTGCATCTCAATTCAGATGTCTGGACTCCATATCTAAGGTTCTTTTCCATTATACCAGTTAGTCTGCCAAATATTCTGTAGTTTGGCAAGGTAGTGAAATGACTGATTAATTTTTTCTGATAATAAAAGTAAAACATTCATTTGAAAATTTGGATATAGAAAAACACCAAAGAAATCATTTACAACCTTCATCTCTATTTCTATCTTTTCTTCCTTTCTTTCTTTCTACCCCTCCCCCACATTTGCACTCTTAGAGATAATCACTTAGACATTTCATATGTCATAAGACACACACTTTTTTCCCTTTTTTAACAAACGTTGATTTCTGCTTCATATACTATTCTGCAAGTTACTTTCTACATCTTTGCAAAATAAATATATATATATAAATATATATATAGGTAAGGAATTCTGTCCTTAATTAATGATATTATATTATATCAAAATGTATTAAACTGTTTAGGTTATTAAACTATTTAGGTTATCTAGGGTGTTCCCAGTTTGGGACTTTGCATTGATTATTGTATGAATGTGTTTATATTTTGTAGGATAAATTTCTAGAAGAAGGATGGAAAGACCATATGGTATACACATTTAAATTTTTATAGAGATTACCAAATTGCCCTCTGAAACAAAGGTTATACAACTTCACACTCCTACCAATAGTGGACAAGAAATCCTATTTGTTCATATCCTCACAAATACTAAATTTGAGGAGTATTTATTATTTTGGTCAAGCTAATAGAGGAAAAATGGTATCTTATATCTGAAACACACTTTTTTTGTGTGTGGTGGTGGTTCTGGGGTTTGATGTCAAGGCTTCACACTTACAAAGCAGGCACTCTACCACATTAGCCACACCTCCAGTCCTTAAACACACTTTTTAATTGGTGAAGTTGAACATCCTTCCCTATGTTTGTCATTGTATTTCTTATTATCTGAACTGTATGCAAAAACCTTTTGCTCATTTTCCTCTTGGCTTGCATGTAGTCTTCTTATTGATTTGGGGGCACTACTTATGTATTAGAACCCTTAATCTTTTGCATTATACATGTGTAGCATTGATTGTCTGCATATAGATAGATTGTATAGACACTAAGAGGGAAAACTGACTTTCTTACCAAAATGTATAAATGTATGTGTAACAAAAAGAGAAAAAATATGTTAATAATAGATTGGAAATACAGCACAAATATTTTTCTCCTCTATTTGTATATAAGCTCCAAGAGAATGCCTTCTTTCCTCCTAATTGCTGTATCTCCAGTGCCTAAAACAGTGCCTAGGATAGAAGAGATGCTCAATGTTTGCTAAGTGAAAGAATTAGTAAAACATTAAGCAAAATGAAGAATCTAAGCAAATACCTCTGGAAAAGTGGCCCTGAGATGCTTATATCTTAATATAAACTGGCCAAATCTGTCTCTCCTTCCCACTCCCTTGTCATTAGTAGCATCTGCTTATTAAGGAAATAAGATTTGTAATTTGGAATAAGTGAGAGTCAGAAGGTTAGGTTTTGAAGGATGAATCTGGCCTAGTTGAGATAGCGAAGTGGAACTCTTGCATAGTTAAAAGTTAAGATGAAAGTATTTGGTTGTAGGAGAAAAAATTATTGAAAGGCAGAAGAAGCAGAAGTCAGTTTCTCCTTGCTCTAAAATTTTGCATAAAGCAAGTTTGACTTTCTAGATGTGCTACAATGCAGAAAAAAAAAAGCATGAAATAGTTGAGAGGATCTAGGTGCAGTATTTTCTTCTTGGCTTACCTTGAATGCACATTACAAAAATTTTCAGGGCCTATAACTCAATTAAAAAATTCTCATCTCATCATACTAACTTTTCATTTGGTTTTAAGTAGCTCTGGGTTGTTAAATGAAGGTATTGAACTTCCAAATTATCTAATGTGTTTCCACACTTACGAATCAGTCATCAGCTTGTTCTCAGGACTATTTCAGTTAAAACTGGCTTGTGTATAGTATTCTTAAAGATTTTTAACAACTATTTATATATTAGAAGCCTACATCTCCTACTACTATCATACTGTGTGTTCAATTATTGTACTGATTAAAGCACTCTTCTTTTGTGTTTTCCATAATTAGGTAATTCCAGAAAGATGAGGATATTTAATGCCTTTGTATTCACAGTCTACTGTCATTTACTGAATGGTAAGTCACCAAATTCCTTCATTAGGTTCTATATTTTAAATATTTTAACCATGAGTTAAAAACTAAAATAACAATTTGAAATGAATATCATTTTCTTATAGAAAGAACGTTCTGGTTTTTCCTTCTTTATTTCAAAAACAAGTCACCCATGTCTGTATAAAGATGTAGAAAATGAAGACAATTCAAAATTAATTAATTACCCATTTCCCAGGGATAACTACTGAAAAATTCTGGGGAAATAACCAATAGGTATACTTTTGTTTGTGTTTGTTTTTTGTTTGTTTTAAACAAGGCTGGGAACATTCCATCTTATTATTTATGACCTGCTTTTCCCAATTAAGATATTTTAGGGAAGAATTTTAGTGTACATGGAAATTGTTAGGGTAGCACCATACTGGTAATATCTTGAGAGCCTGCCTAAATTTCCATACCCATGTTCCTCTGGCCAGAAAACGAATTTTAAGAAATTAGGGCAGTAAGAAGGGAAAGCCATTGGAATGTATCATTCAGACTATGTTGAAAGCAAACAGGTGTCCAGTCAAAGGACATTCTGGAGATGTCTATATGAAACCAAGTCTTTCTGGTTATTATTACTCCATCACCATATATTTTTACAGTAATGTATATTTATGAATTATGCAACAACTTGTTTAACTAATTTATTCTAACGTAAGGATCAGATATATTTCAAGCTCACTGAATAAAATATGTATTTTAGGGAAGCAAGTCCTTAAATAAAATTATCACATAATTCTCCAAATAATGTGATTATAAACCCATTTTGAAGTGTTTTGAGGAATTCAATACCTTCTAAAAGTTGGTCATCTTCCTTTTCAGCATTTACTATCACAGTTCCCAAGGACCTGTATGTCGTAGAGTATGGCAGCAATGTGACAATCGAATGCAGATTCCCAGTAGAAAACCAATTAGACCTGACTTCACTAATTGTCTACTGGGAAAAGGAAGACAAGCAGATTATTCAGTTTGTACATGGGAAAGAGGATCTGAAGGTTCAGCACAGTAGCTACAGGCAAAGGGCCTGGTTATTGAAGGACCAGCTCTTCAAGGGAAATGCTGCACTTCAGATCACAGATGTGAAATTGCAAGATGCAGGGGTTTACTGCTGCATGATCAGCTATGGTGGCGCAGACTATAAGCGGATTACTTTGAAAGTCAATGGTAAGAATTACTAGAGATAAAGAAGGCTGCTCTTTATCTAAAATATTCCAAGTGTTGAGAGGTTTTCATTCTTGGAAGTCTAGAGTTACTTTCCAACAGAACAGCAGCAACCTGTACATTCATTTATTCACTCATTCATATGCTCAGCCACTGAGCACTTCTTGAACAACTCATATGTGACAGTCACTGAAGATCCAGGATCAAAAAACAAAAAGCCATGCTCTACAGTATATTCAACTTTCCCAAAGAATTAATCCCAGGTTTTTACTTTTTTATTATAAAAATAGTACATGTATTTGTAAATAATTTAGATACTAGGAAAGAGAATATAATAAGTTGCAAAAGCGTCCTTCCTTCCTTCACCACCATCTACCATAACATGATAATATAGTAACATAGTGTACACACAATAGTGTAGAATTATTTGTATTTGATTACTGTTTTTTACAGTATTAGCCTACCACATTTTCTTCCTTTGAACCTCTCCATGTCAAACCCAAACAAATAAATTAAAAACAAACCCCGTTGTAAGGTTCACACTCAAAAAGACTTGAGATCTCTCTATGAAGCCAAAAATAATCATATTAAAAACAGAGGAAACCATTATTCCACATAGATGGCACAAAGTATGCTGACCAGGTGTACGTTCATCTCAACAGTCTATAAATGTTATATCTTGAAGTGTTGAAGAGGAACTGGGAGTGCTAGTTCCTAGGTACTGACCCACAGATATGTCATCAGGTCACTTGAGTTCAAAGTTTGGGTCAGTACTAGCTAAGGGAAGGGAAACACCTCTCCTTTCACTGTTGAATTTCATAGAATTGAGAGCCTGAAGGATTCCAGGCGTGAGCATTTATCCAAACTCCCACAAAGAGCAGAAATCCCCCAAAGGACCTTCTTTTCATATACTTCCCACATTGATGACCCTATCACATAAAGGAACCACCTTACATGGACTGTTAAAATTTCTCCCTATGTGAAACTGAAATCTCTCTTCTCTAGAAATAGCTTTGAGATTATCTGCATGTGTATTTTGTATTCATGATAACTTTTTAATATTTGTCTAGAATTAAATTATCTCCCTTTTGGTCTTTCCACCCTGAGCTAACTACTATCAGTCTGAAGGTCAATAATATAAATAGGAAAAGTTTACATTTATTATAAATGATCACTGATAATTATGAACTCAAAAAATAAAATTATGTAGAGATTAGGAGTAATGCACCATTTTATAGTATTTTACTGGGTCTCTGATGCTGGCTGAATTAATGCTACTTTTGTTTAAAAAATGTCATTTGCCTTGTGAGATATACTTAATTTTCATTGTATTTTACCATGTGCTTCGTTTGTCATGTACATGAAAGAAAGCTTGGGATATGGTTGTTTACATCTTCAACTTTTCTTCAGTCCATCAGCAAATATCTGGTATCTCTTATGTGCTATGATATTAAAGAAATTATCAGGCCTTAAGCTCATGAACAATCAGCATTGTTAGATCTGGGCTAGGGAGAAAAGGCAGTCAGGAATACAGAATCATAGACCTTAAGTGTCTGTTTCTAAGGGTCTTTCATCAGCCTGTTGGGAGTATGCAGGGAATAAACAGATGACTTTGTAGTGAGGAAAGGTTATTCCAGGTTATCTGGGCTCCATAATATCTCTTTAATATACTAGGAAATCTTCTGGTACTGATGACTTTTCCAAGGAAGGATCTTTGATGGAGCAAAACAGCTAAACAAGCAAATTTGAAGGTCGGATTTGTTTGACAATTCCACTTTGTGCTAGAAATTACTAAACTACTAGTCCCAATCCATCTTGTCATTTGCATACAGTGGTTTGGGGAGGTAAATTGAGCTAGACCAGGAGTCTGAATCTTCTATATCAAGAATAAGTCAGCCACAAAGCTTCAGTGCACAAAGGCAGTACTGCCTATGCCAGTGGCTGGCTTGTAGGAGCTTTACACAAAAGGAAGTGAACTCCTGAGTCAACTCCTATGCAAATGATTTCACAGTAACTCTGCTGGACTTCTCTTCCCATCACTGCAAATGTGTGGTAACACAGCTTCCCTTCTGGGGAGTTTACTCACCATGGGGTTTTAAAATGAAGCATTTTAAAACTGAAAATTGAAAGGGTTTGATTTTGGATTAACTCAATTACCACTATCAATTTGGGTGTTATTGCACCTTTTATATTTATTAGTTTAAATACCAGGTTCTCAGGCATCTGACTTTCAGTTGAAAATTTTTTTCCTAAATCGCTGAATTTAATGTCACGGAAAATGAAATAGCCATTTAATATACTCAGGACCTTTAATGGGTTTAAGCAGCTGAAAGAACAAAGTATTGCATAGTTTTCCTGGTAAAGCTATTTTAATCATATGGACCAGAGATTAACTGCTATCATTCTCTACCAGCCTCATTTCTCTCCCAAATTCTCTATCCCTGTTTGTTTTCTCTGGAGCATCTATTCCTATCTAATATATCACATAGCATATCATATATCTGTACCCATCTGTTTTGTTTATTGTCTCTTTCTTCTTTCTAGTACATAAACTTCACAGGGGCAGGGGTTTTGGTCTGTTTTATTCATTGTTGTATCCCTAGGATTTGATATATAGTAGACTAGAAGCATGACAAGCACACAAAAAATATTTGTTGAACAAATTAATGAATGAATGATTTCCTCAAGTAGGGTTAGTCTAAAATTTTTGAAACATGAACAGGTTTGAATATGTGAAAATTTATTTCCAAGACTATTCATCAGGAACTGCCAGCACTTTCTTAAGATTACCACAGTAACCCTTCAGCAACAGCAATAAAGAACAGCTCTGCTAAGCAATAGTACATATCTAATCGATTCTTGTAGAATGATCCACTCATTCATTGGCCCTTAGAGGCATACCATATTTTTACATGTTCCTCTATGTCAAACAACACACTCTTCTTTCATTGAAAATGAAAAATCTTACTCCTAACATTTTACCATTAACAGTGACTTTTTAGGCTTAAAATTTTTATTGCCCAGAAATCAAGCTTCCAAATAGTGAATGGAACACTATTTACTATCTCATGAAGTATTTATTTCATGAAGTATAATTAATATTTAACAATGTTTAATAATACTTAATAATTAATAACTAATATTTATTTTGTAATGGATGCTGAACTTGAACTTTCTTTTTTTTAATTTTTTTAATTATCATATTATTGCTGTACTGGGAGTACATTGTGATATTTACAAAAGTGCTTACAATTTATCTTAGTTCAATTCACCCCTTCATCACTTTCCTTTATCACCCCTCCACTCTTCTTAGAATAGTTTCAGCAGGTCTCATTTTTCCATTTTCATACATAAGTACACAATATTTCCATCATATTCACTCTTTTATATACTTTCCTTATATCCTTCCCCCTCCCATTGGTACCAACGCCCCCCAACAGAACCTGTTTTAAGTAGTTTCAAATGATTTTTAAACATGACAGGCACAAGACTGTGGATTCCAGTACTCATAAAGCCATTATTTATAGTTTTTTTAATTTAAATTTTATTTTTGATATGTCATACCTTAATAATACAAGGGGATCCAAAGCTCTAAGTTCAAACCCCAGTCCTAGCAAACAAAAAATAATAATACAAGGGGATTCCATTGTGATAATTCCACACGTGTGCACAGTGTACCTTGAACCAGTTCACCCTCTCCGTTACATTCCCCTTACTCTTTTTTCTGCCCCCCATTATTCGTGTTTTCAAATCATAATTATTTGATGTCATTGATGGTGGTCCTTGATTAAAGGGCACCAAAACATCACATTATTTCTCATTTCAGTTTGTTTTATCCTGGTAGTTTTTTGTTATTCACTGTGAAAATATTGTATCATAAAGCTTTTATTCTTTGACAAAGTAATAGGGAGTTAAAGGCTCTAGGTTATTAGTGGTTCACTAAAGTATGACAAGTAACACAATGATTATCCAGTAGAATAAAAACATGGTAATGTATCTGTGATGAGTAAACATGAATAAAGATCTTATGCTATGTATACATGCATTAAACAATCTACTAGAATAGTCAGCAAATGCTATCTTAATCCTAAAATGGTCCCAAACTAATTATCTAAAATTTAATCAAGCTTTCTGTCTTGAATGTAGTAGTTAAATGATTTATTAAACTAGTCAATATAAACGTTTAAAAAATAAATATCATAATGTGGTCTCCAAGATGGGATAGAGCAGAAAAAATACGTTAGGTAAAGGCTGGTAGAGTGGTATAAATTATGGAGTTTGGTAAATAGTAACGTACTCATGTTATTACCTTAGTTATGATGACTGTACCATGGTTATGTAATTGGTAAATAATTGGGAAAAGTGGGTAGCGAGTGTACAGCATCTGTACTACTTTTGAAAATTTGTGTAAATGCAAAACTGTTTTCAAATTTAAAAACACATTAAAACTTTGTGAAGACAGCTTCACAACAACAACAAAAACATATTCAGGAATAAATTTAAGAAATGAGGCCCTGCTGGGCTTACATCTGTAATTCTAGCTACTTGGGAGGCTGAGATTGGGAGGATCGTGGTTTGAAGCCAACCTAGGCAAAAATTTCATGAGACCCCCCCCCATCTCATCCAATGGTTGTGGTGACATGCACCAGTCCTCTTTGCTACAGTAGGAAGCATAAATTAGGAGGATCACGGTCCAGGCTGTCCTAAGCAAAAAGCAAGATTCTATCTCCAAAATAACTAGAGCAAAAAAGGCTGGAGGCATGGCTTCAGTGGTAGAATGTTTGCCTTGCAAGCACAAAATCCTGAGTTCAAACCTTAGGATCACAGAAAAAAATAGAGAAAGAAAGAAAAGAAATAAGTCTCAACGTAAAAACAATATCACTTTACTGGGAAACATACCAAGACTTGAGTGAATAGACATATTTTATATTTGGATGAAAAGACTACTGGTCTAAAGATGACCATTTACTTTAAATAATTTATATATTTAGTTTGAACCATGTAAGCATAAGCATACCAACATGATTTTTATACCAAGACAATTGTTCCTTTAATCCCAAATGTAACCCAAGTTTGAACAGAAAAGTAGAGGCAGGCACTAGTCCCCAGTGCTGAGTCAGCTGAGCATTTAAGCTTATTTATCTGAAACCACCCTGGTTCTCTTTCTAATGTAGATACCACCAAGCCACATGGCTACTTCTGTGACAGAGAAATCTCTGACCTCTTTTTGTTCACGACCTAGCCCCATACGATAATATCAACCAAAGAATTTCTGTGGATTCGGTCACTTCTGAACACGTCCTAACCTGTCAGGCTGAGGGTTACCCGGAAGCTGAAGTCATCTGGATGAGCAGTGATGGCCAAATCTTGAGTGGCAAGACCAACATCACCAGTTCCCAGAGGGAGGAGAAGTTTTTTAATGTGACCAGCACACTGAGAATCAATGCAACAGCTAATGAGATTTTCTACTGTACTTTTCGAAGATTGAGCCCCAGGGAAAACACTACAGCTAAATTCATCATCCCAGGTAATGTTCTGAGTGTGTCAACATGTGCCCAACTGTTCCCCAACACCTCGTGTGATGGTTGCTCATTATAGTGGTTGCATCATTAAGTGATGGCTAGATAAATGAATTACTAAATGTGTGCTATTTCCTCACCTCCTTGCATCCAAATTGTATTGCTGCTTAATAAACATTCAGTAGATATTTATTGAATATTCGCTACATGCGGGTCAGTATATTAGGCAGTAAACATTCAAAGAAGAATAAGATACCATTCCCACCATTTCCCACTCTCCAGGAAATAAACACAAAAAACAGTTGAATGTGAGAAATACTCTTGTGGCTGGGGCACCTGGGGGATTTGAGAGCAATACTCATCTCAGGCCATGTTTTAAGAATCCAAACCCCAGTACATCAGAGCTGCTTCCTTCTGTCTAGACCGTCTGTGTTAGGAAGCAAATGGAATGTATTTTTCTATCTTACTCTAAACAGGAGAGCTCCTTTTTCTCCATGTGACTCTCCAAAGGTATTCTTTGGTATTTCAGCTTAAGGCAGTGTGCTTTGTTCATAGAACATGAGTCTGTGTGCCTCTGAGCAAATTACTAGACTTCTATGTATTTCACTTTTTCAGTATGGTTATAACTTACCAGGCAAGTTTATTGTAAGGATAAAATTTGAAACCCTTGCCTGCACACATTCAACTATTTTCAAATCTCACTACCCTACAAAAGTAGGTAGGATGGAAACAGAGTCTGAGAGTTTTAGAGGATTAGAGTCAATGAAGTGGTTCAAAATAAACTCAAAGGCATTCTGAAGAGAATCAATTCCCTCCATCCCCTCCCCTAATAGATGTTAACAAATAAAAGTCCAGTTACTTCTGAGAAAACAAATGAAAACTTAGATAGAAAAGTCAACCAATGTGAAAGACAATCCAGATGGTCTTATGAAGAAAAAGAGCAAAAACCATTTAGAAAATAAGGGAGAGGTTCTTACTGGGATTAGCCTTCAATTAGAGCTGTATTGGTGGGTTACTGCCATTTAAAAGCTGTTTTATGACAACTTATTTGTGGGGCAACCTGGAGTAACTTATCTAACTGCTCTAAATCTGTTTTCTCATCTGTAACTGTTTTTTTTTTTAAATATGTGGTGTACCTAATTCATAAAGTTGTCTTGAGGCTCAAATAAAGTATACATGAACAGGCTTTGTAATCTGTAAGGTACAAAGGCTCACTACTGTAGCTTTAAAGCTTGAACTAAGTAGTTAGGGATCATGGATCTTGGTTGACAGTGAGGCCAAGCCTCAAACTTCAGAAAAGTATAACAAGCATTGGTCCCTGAACATGACCCCAGAGGTTGAGGGTGGGAGTAGTGCATAAGTTCCTTAACAGTCCACATTGGCCTTCCATGTTCCACAGTGGGCCATGCTTGCCATATAGGATGTTAGCTTCTGTGTTATAAGATGCAGGGGTAAGTGACATTATCAAGGCTGCCATTTAGTTTTGAGCAACCACTCTCTGTAGTATACACTAAGCACTTTTCAAACAGTCTCTGAAGAAATTTCTTAGTGTCTTCATTTTATAGGCTAGATAAAGAACTTGGAGATCTCAAAGCTGGTCAATGGCAGCAGAATTCAGCCCCAGTTCCATCTGTCCAGAGCCTGAGCTTCTTCTACTTCCCCAAACTGCTCTCATTTTCTTATCAGGGCTATCTCATCACTCTAGCCCCTCACTGGTCATTAACTTTTAGTATTTGAGAAAATTAACCTAAAGCTAAACTAAATTAGACTTTAATGATGATTATTCTCGTGATCTCTTTCCATCAAAATTTTATCTTTAGTCACTTTCTCTTTGTTTTTCAGAACCACCATTACCCAGCCACAAGAGGACTTACTTGGTGACACTGGGAGTTGTCCCACTGTTCCTTGTTGCAGCACTGATGGTCTTCCTCTGTTCAAGGAAAGATGGTATTACCTTCATTGCAGTGGTCTCCACTGGGGATATGGGATAGTGTTTGAAGGTGTTATTGTTGTCACAGTGGCACTTGGTAGGCACAGCCAGATATTCTAAATATCCTGCCATATGCAGGACAGTTCCACATCTCAGGGAACTTTCCTACTCAAAATGCTATCATTGCCTCATTGGAAAGCACTGACTTATAATATTCGGCCTTCCTGTTAGCATTCACTTTCAATTATGTGAATTGGGTCTTAGCTGTGCCTGAGGTAAACCAGTGTGCCGCCTTTTCATTTAGTCCTGTCCATTTTGCTGTTCTGCAACATTGCCTACATTGGAGTGTGGCGCTGGAACAATAGCATTTTCAAGGGCTGAGAGTTGGATAATGACTGGAGGAAAACTGACTTAGCTTTGCAGGGCAGCATAATGATATCTCACTGTTCATTAGAAGTCATAGTGAGGCTAAGTGGGATTACTATGGGAAGATCAGGTATACAGCAATGAGGGGTGGGAGGATGAATGTATATGGAAGTTGACGAAGATTCAGTGTCATGCAGTTTCTTTTACCATGCAAATAATCACAGACTTACAGAAGAGAAAGCACTAAAATGCCTGTTGGTTTCAGTTAAATTTGAGTATCGCATTAGGTGTGGCATTATATTGAGCTGGTTTCTGGGTACCTTATATAAGAAAAATAGCTCCTTCTATAGAGCTGTGGTATTTTTACCATAGAGTGTTTTGCAAGATATCTGGAGGAAATGTTACATTGTTGTTAAAATGCTTTGCCTGTATCTAGTTCTCTAATTACCCATGGGAATGATTAAAATCCAGGAAAATGAATACATTCAAATAATTTCCTCCATTTAAGGCTGATTCAAAGTAAACATTTCCACCCAATACTTTGAGCTATATATGAAGAGATCCAATGATCTTTGTATAGTTTTATCTGATGACAAATAGGGAAGTAGAACATGAAAGGGAATTCCAATAGCATTGAGAAATTCCCCAGACCTCTTAGGAGGGTGGGTGGATCTGCAGGTTAGATATCAGCAGTTTCCAAAGAGTAGGCCCTTAACAAAACTGAACTCGTTACCAATAGATTAGGATGAATTTTCAGCAACGGTCAGGTTCAGAGAGGGAATGGATTTGCATAAGGAAATGGTTGTTGCCAACTTTCATTGTTAGTATTTCCCTCACGGGGGATTAGTTGGCACTAGGAATGAATAGAAAACAAATTAATAAAGTACCTCAGAAAATGATCCAACACTGAGAGAAAGATAGAAAATAAAAGTATATATTTCTAAAGAAAATGTAAGTTCGAAAATATGTTTCCTAAACTCTTAATTCATTACTTTCAGGGGTTGGGACCATGGACTAAAGACTGAAAATTAGTCTAGTGAACTGAAATTAAAAATGTTTGATAGGATCCTTGAATTTAAACTCAAGTCACTGTATGGGATGTAGAGTTGTGCTACATGTGAATAAAAGTGATTTCTTTTTCTCTAGTGAAAATGACAGATGTAGACAAATGTGGCATCTGAGATACAAATTGAAAGAAAGAAAATGGCAAGAATATCAGAAGGGATGGGAAGTTGAAGGAACAGAAAACAAAAAACTAATACAATAACAGAGAAATCTTATCAGGCATAATCTTGCATCCTTTTAGAGAAGGCTGGTTGCAGGGACTGCTGGCTCCTCTTTACTTAGCAACTCTAGTCCGAGAAATGCCTGTGGTTCTAAGAGATTTAGGAATTGCCTCCCTGGGTAAAGTGGGTGAGCAAATTTGTGCAGAGAGGAAGGGAGAGGGACAAAGGAAGAGGGGTAGCTTCTCTTTGCTAAGCCCCTGTTGGCTGCATCCCAACATCTCCCTCTAACAGAGGACCATGTTGACTTAGGTGGGTAGAGAATTAATTCTTTCTACTCTGTTGCATGTCTGGCACTTTTAACAGCTGTGTATATGCAGTATCTCACTTAATCCTCCTGCTACCCCAAAAAATCAGAGATAAATACTAGAATTATCCCTATTTTGTAATAGAGAAAATTGAGGATCAAGAATATAATGTACAGTGCTCAAGAACACAGAGCTAATGACAAAAATCAAGTTTGCTGGTCCAGTAGCCTAACCATAGCCCCCCATATTCTTCAATCCATTTTGCTACAAATATTTACATTTATAAAAGGGCAGAAAAACTGCCCAGTTGATTAAACTAAAGAGAAAGTTATATTAAGCCTTGTGATTCATTTTAATGTAGGTAGAAACCAAACAATGAGCCCAGATTCAATAGTTTAGTGTAGTTAACTTGGATATGCTCAGGCAGGTTTTAATATGCGGTTCATAGCATGCAGTTATGTTGTAAATCTAATTAGAAATGTTTGGGTGACCCCAAGGAATCAACTGTCCCAGTTTGCTCAGTACATCAGACTTTCAGTTTTTTTTTAATCATCTTATTATTGTTGTACTGGGGATACATTGTGATATTTACAAAAGCGCTTACACTGTATCTTAGTCACCCTCTCCATCACTCTCCTTTATGTTCCCTCTCCCCATTCCTGGAATAGTTTCAACAGGTCTCATTTTTTCATTTTGATACATGAGTACATAATATTTCCACCATATTTATCCTCCTTCACCTTTTCCTATATCCTTCCCCCTCCCACTGGTAACCCCCCCCCCCGACAGGACCCATTTTACCTTCCTGCCCTTAGTTTTTGAACAAAGACATTTGTTTGTTGTTTAAGATAGCTACACAGGGAGTTTCATTATGACAATTCCACATACATATGTATTATACCCTGAACTGGTTCAGTTTTAAAACCAGGACAGCCCTGGGCAAACCAGAATGGTTAGTCATCCTTTATCATGTAAGGAAATGAATAAAGTGGAAATAAACACAATTTGATTCTTTCTCTTATTGCAGAGTTCTTGTATGGTCTATCAAATATTTGTTTCTCAAATTTCTTTTACTTTTTTCTAAGATTCCTCACCTGAAATTACTATACTTTTATCTCTCTCCAGACACACAGTTTGAGGAGACGTAACCAGCATTGCAATGTCTGATCTTCAAGGAAGGATTCTCATCCTGTGGTTCGGGAGTTCATGAATGAAAGGGCCCATAGAATGCTGGTGATGTTGGACTTAAAAGGACCAAGCACTGAAAATGGAACCTGGGGGAAAAAAGAGGAAGAGAGCAAAGAAAGGTGGCATAGGAAGAGTAGCCTGGAAGGGAACCCAAGTACTTCAACAGAATTGAGGACCTCATTAGTGCATGTGAAAGAGACAATGGACACTCCTGAATGAGGAGCCTCCAAGCAAATGGTTTATCACTCATCCTAGGAAAGCATCTTGAAATCCCTGACTTAAGGGCTAGCTCTTATAGAAGTGCTCTTTGCCTCCACTCGATGCCTGAATATGTCTTCTAGTGACTGAATGTTCTAGTGTTGAAGAGTGTTTAAGTATGAGTTGTTTCTATTTATTGTGAGTCTGTGACATCTTCTCATCATGTGACTGTGGTTGTGAATGATTTCTTTTGAAAATATATTACAATACATGTTAAAATTCTGTTGTTGAATTCAACTTGATAGTTAACAGCTTGTTTATGTATTTTTGAGGTGCTTGATACTCTCTGTAACTATTGGAATGAATAGGAAGTACAGAGAAAAAAAACCACATTGGTTTATATAGGATCTTACCTTACTTATCCCACTGATATTTGGTTGTCTTGAATCATCTTATTCTCAGCCCTCAGAATATCAGCTTTACAACTGGGTGGTATCATTCTCATATAATCTCATTTCATCCTGGTAACCACCCTGCCATGGTAACTGCTTATACCTACTTCATAGCTGAGGAAGTAGAGATTAAGAAAATAAAAGGAGTAAACAGCAGCCCCCAGATTTCCACAATTCACCCACTAGCCTTTTAGAATACAATTTACAGCTGCACTTTAAGAAATTCATTCATTCAAAACCTATTAAGTATTTTGGCATATTTTACCATGTCTTACACTATTAAAGACGTTGAGTCTACAAATGCTAACCAAAGTATCAGATGGATATACTAAAACTTGTTATAATCAAAACAGTTTTAGTTTACAAGAAGTCATTATTCAAAAGACTGGAAAATAACTCTTGAGCTCCTTTTCTAGCATTACAGTTACCCTTGATTTATTTATCATTGCCATATAATCTGATGTTCTCTAGGTAGTGTCTAGTATTGCTTAGCCATTCTTTTCTCTATTTAAATGCTATTGAATTTTTAATTCATACATTTCCATCATTCAAAATAGAAATGGTCCAATAGAAAACAATTAAAAAAAAATCTGCATTCTACTCTCTGAGCCATCCAGTTTCCCTTTCCAGAAGCAACTGCTGTTGTCTTTTATTTGTGTATATTGCTGAAGATATATATGCTAAAAATACATTAAAATTTTTTTCCAAAATGGTAACACATTATACATTTGCTATGCACTTTACTAATGTTTATTTAATATATTAATTCTTATGTAACAAATTTGAAGTTAGGAAATGTGTCTTGTTTGTTTCTAAATTGTCTTTCCCACTGTTTCTTGGTAGCTCTCATATGATTTAGACAATGCTGGATACCTACTACATATACCTTTAAATACCAGCATTTGTTGAGTTCTTGCTCTACATCTCAGTTTGAATTTGGTCAATTTTGTGTTTGCTCAAAGGGAGACCAAAGGATCCCCAGAGTATGCTGAGTCAGTCCAGTACTAAAGAGCAGTCTTATTATTATTAACGCAGCATGACGGAGCATGTCTGGAACTTTTCCCCCCTATCTGTTTTCTCTCTAGTATAGACTTCAGTTTGATGCTGTACTTGCATACTTACATGTTCTTCTGGAAATTCCAGCACTATACCTTGACTGCTGGCTGTCCTGGACCCTCATCTGTGCCAGAAAATGGCCATTAGCTCTGCTTGAGCTTTGAATGTCACGGGCTGTCGTCACTACACAGGCCTCCTAAAATACTGTTTTACAGAGGCTTTAAGATTCAATGGTCTCTCAGCGGGACCCAGAGTTTCCTTTTCCTCATGGCCATTTACTACCATTTTCTTTGTTTTGTCACATGTCAGGACTCAAGAAACAGTCACCAACAGTACTCCTTCTGTTATCTGTTTGTATATGTGTATTTATAGAATGATTTGGGCAACAATGTCCTACTTGTGTGAAGTACAAATAAAGATTCTGGTGGAACAAGTCATATGTTCATTCCATATATTCACTCTTATTCCTAAATTTTAACACCTTCTTGTGTTGTATTTATAAGGCACTTTAACCATGTGTGTTGTGTTTCATTGTAAATGACACAGGAAAAGATATTTATCTCTACATTTGTCACTGTTTGTACCTGCATTAATTGAATAAAGTATTCTTATTTATTTTGCTCCTTAGTACACTAGTGTGTCCATTTTCTTATTTTCTATGTGTTTTATAAAACCACTCTCTTTAACCTCCAGTGGAGAAAGTTACTTGGAATCTGTGTGTTTCTGCCCTCAGTTCTCTTTATAGCTTCTGTGTTTATACACCATGCTCTCGAATCCTTTGCATGATGAAAATAATCAAAACAATTTATTTTTTAAATTTATTTTTTTGGCACTACTGGGGATTGAACTCAGGATCTCATACTTGTCAGGTAGATACTCCATCACTTGAGTCATGCCTATATCCCTTTTTGCTTTAGTAATATTTTTTTCAGGTACAGTCTTGCATTTCATGCTGAGGCCAGCCTGGACCTCAATCCACTTACTTAGCCTCCCATGTAGCTTGGATGATAGTCATGCACCACTGTGCCCAGCTTTTTATTGATATGAGGGCTCACTAACTTTTTGCCTGGGCTGGCCTTGAACCTTGATCTTCCCAATCTCCAACTTCCAAGTAGCTAGGATTGGATTCCAAGATGGCGGCTAGAGGGAGGAAGCAGAAAGCATGCCTCCTAAAGTAAAATCTTGGAGAGACGCTGGAGATACACCTTACAGGCAAAACCACCAAGAAGAGGCAAAGCTTCGACCCCTCCACACCTCCAGCCTGCGCAGATCATCTCCACATCACGTTAAATGGAGAAACCAGGAGGGCCCCCGGGCCACCACCAGACACCAGCTCCCAGATGGCTTGAGAAGACACAGACTACAAGATGAGCTAACCGGTACACGGTGTTCCCACAGACAACCCTGGGCCAAATCAGCATAGCCCCCTGGACAGACCAACCCCCACCCAGGGAAAAAAGAGAAACTGAGTAATAAGCAATAAGAACAATAAAGACACATAACAAAGAGGGTGGGGTGCCCTGAGCACCAAAGAGGGGGAGGGGAATCCCTCACAGAACTGTAAACAAACACGCCAGCCAGAGAAGGCAGGAGCGGGGGCAACTGCCAAACAACCAGGAGTGGAAAAGCTTGTAAAAGTGGCAGAGGGAGGAAACTCCACAGGAGGGGGGGAAGACCCACTTTCCATGTGAACTGTAAATAAACACACCGGCCTGAGAAAGCGGGTGCAGTGTCACCTTCCCCAGTGTGCTTGGAAAGGGGAAAGCTTGTAGCAGTGGCTCATGCACAGGAGAACTCTGAGTAAACAAAGCCTGCGGGGCCAGGTGAGTGTTAAGCTCACCCCAGAGATCTGCATAAATAACACCTCCAGGAACAGCAGGCTGACAGCCATGGGCAGGAAAGCCACAGCCTCAGATACCATTCACAGACCTGTCTCCAGACTCTTTTTTCTCTCTCTCCCTACCTTTGATGAGACAACAACTGAACTATGCCTGCATGCTGAAAAACTTACTGAAACTGCATTGCATTTGAACTTGGGACACTTTGTGGGGTTTTTGTTTTGTTTTGTGTGGTTTTGTTTTATTTTATTTTTCCCCTTTGATGAGACAACTATAGAACAACATCTGAGGCACCATCTCCAGGATTGGAGGCTGAGGGACAAACACCAAAATTATTAAGACTGAAACTTTATTGCATTTGAACTTGGAAATTTTATATATATATATTTTTTTCATTTATTTATTTATTTTTGTTTTTATTTTCAATCCTCTCTCTCTCTAATGCCTTTTCAGCTTACAGTTGATTAGTACACTGTTTCTCCCTGTTTATATCTTTAAAACATTTTTTGTTTGTTTCTTTGTTTTGTTTTTTTCTACTTGTTTATTTGTTTTTCCTTTTTCCTTTAACTTCTTTGCTTTCCATCTCCTCTCACCCTTCCATTCTAAATATCACTAGTGCTATTATTACAAGCCAGAAAATACTTAATTGCACACAGTACAGGGACAATAACAACACCAAGGGCAATGACGGGAAGACAGAAAAAACAGGGAAACCAGTTTCCCCACAACAAAAATTTAGTACAGAAACCAGAGAAAAAAGAAAACAGATACTCAGACACAGACTTCAACAAAAGGAAGATAAACTATGCCAAAGAACCCAATGAAGCCCACAAGAATAATTTAAAAGAAGACATACTACAGGTAATCAATGAGAATTTTATAGAGATGATACTGGATATGGTCAACCAAAATGTATAGGAGACACTCAAGAAATTCCAATGCAACAAAAATAGAGAATTTGAAAAAGCACAAGAAGAAATAAAGGAAACCAAGTAGCTATGATTATAGGCATGAGCTATAATGCAAAATAATTTGCATTATAATTATAATTACATAATTATATTAAATAATTTGTTTTTTTAGAAGTAATTTATTGAGTGTTTTCATTCTCTTTAACTTCATAACTTCTTTTAGGACAATACCAAGAATCCAAATTGAAGATCTGAGGCAGAGAGGATGGGAGAAGAAGAGTGGAACCCAAAAGAACTAGGGAAATGAAGGGGCTTTCCTCTAAGAGCACCCTTCAGCTCTATAAACATGGATGTGCAAACCAGTGTGAATGAGACTAGATGTAGTTCAGTCTTCAGGCTTTGTAAAGGAAGTGAGAAACCTGGAATTAAGCCAAGTTGAGCATGAAAGCCTAAAACTTGAGTGGAACTACAAGAGAATCAGTGTGGGGTTTTTTGTTGTTGTTGTTGATTTGTTTTCAGTACTGGGGATTATTGAACTCAGGGCCTCTTGCTTGCTAGGCAGGCTTTCTACCACTTGAGTCACTCCACCAGCCCTTTTCACATCAGTTGTTTTTGAGATAAAGTCTTGCTTTGTGCCTGAGCTGCCCTGGACTGCAATCCTCCTATTTGTGCTTCCCCACATAACTGTGATGACATGCAAGCATCACCACACCCAGCCATTGGTTGAGATGGGGTCTCAAGAACTTTTTTCCTGGGCAAGCCTCAAACCACAGTCCTTCCAATCTCTGCCTCTGGAGTATCTACTATTACAGGCTTGAGCCATTGCACCTAGCAAGAATCTCTGGTTTTAAAAGAAACATGACAACATTAATCATTCAAGAATCTGAAGATCTTTTAATGTGTCTTCTTCTAGTTTGATTACTTTGTCATCAAATTCAATTTTGTTTTTTAGACAGGGTCTCACTATGTAGC